GTGTGTGTGTGTGTGTGTGTGTTTGTGTGTGTGTGTAAGTAGTTAGCCTAGAGGCCTGATGTGGGTTTTTAGGATTATTTCTAGAAAAACAAGAGAAACCAAGTGACAACATATAGTGGGCAATTTTGTACATAACCCTATAACCTTCACTGTACTATATATTCTTGACTATAAATGTTGCATTAATGTAGTATAGTGTGAAATGAACCCACTGTTACTAACTATGGGTCCATATACATCACATTTTAATGACAAAATACCTTAAAAAATACAATATATTTACTGCAGAAAGTTGTTGAATTGATCAGTTCATTGGAGATGTAATGTATGTGAGGGCCATTCCAAACCCTCCCATGGTTTGTTTTTTTGCAGTGTGAAAACACTTTTAAGGATTTTTCAGACTTTGGGGCAGTTGCAGGAAGCTGAGATAGCATTAAACAAAGGAAGTAGAAATCAAGCAGGATTGCTTGGAGTCTTTGCCTCTGGCAAAATAATGTTTGATAGATGAAGACATTCAGTTTGCTGGTAGTATACCTTAATTATATTAAAGTGGCAACAACATTAAAAAGGTTCCATCATTTTTTTCACTCGAAGGGAAAGATCTCCACATGCACTTTGTTAAAAACAGTTAGCGAATACAATTACCAAAACGACAACATGCCAACGTCAGAAGCGTGCCCATTTGCAATGTTAAACATAAGTAGAAAGGACGTAGGTGATGACAACAGGACATAAGTATGTCAAACAAATGTCTGATGCTTTTTGACAAACAGGAGCGTAAGAGTAAGAGTGAGAGTACAAGAGGTTTCTACGAACATTAACTGTGTGTCAGGGCAAATTCATTAAATTCAAGTGAATTAGCAGCATTTAATTCAGATCTGTTAAGACCACAGTGTTCTGCCCTCAGTAACTAAATAATCTGCTTCATGATCATCTGCATGCTCTTGTGGTAATGTAATTATCCTGGTGTTAAACGAGTGTCGGCCCAATCGGACTGATAAGACGTTCCTATTGCAGACCACCAGTGAGCGGGGCGCCCACCCGTGACCATCACCAATTTGAAACTAAGCTTCATTATGATACTGACACTAACAAGGGCAGATATTCAATTAACGGCCCTAATCAAAACAGACTGGCCAGAGACGGAGCAGTACAGGATGTGCAGCAAGAAAAACATCCATTTCAACAAGCCATTAGGTTTTATACTCAGCCTGAGAAAACTGTTTTCTTCACACAAGTGGACAGCCAAATGGTGTGAGAGCTTTAGTAAATTTAAAACAAATTTCACTTAATTCAAGAAGTTCTAATGCGACAAGTGACCATAAAGAATTAAGAGAGACTGGTAGACCTATTAAGATAGTGTTGAATAATTAAATTTAACAGCTGGAACAAGTTCATTCTGCAGTTTTCTTCAGTAGTATTCTTGGATATCAGCTCAGATTAAATACTGAATAACACTTCATCTGGTCGAAAGTGAGAATGGGAAAGATTTTATGTGGAAGAAGAGGAACAAACTGCACTGGCTGAGCCAAATTTTACAAAAATTAACCTTAACTTTGTTTATTCAAATATTTTCCCTTTTTTTAATGATCCTATTTGGTCATTTCCAAGTCTCCCAAGTTGTTGTCACTGCTAATTTTAATGTTGACTGTTGGGAGGAGTTTGTTAGTCTTGTGTTTAACCTGCAGTTTGATGTGACAGAGGTAACCATTATCCCCTGACCCCACTCTTTTATTTGGAGTCACTCTAAAACACTAAGAAAACAGAAAAACAGAAAAAAGTAGTTGGGCAACAAGGATGAGACCCTGTATACCCTTCAAACCACTAACTGGGTTTATTCAGATGCAGAGAATCTTAGATGTACCACATAGCCTATGACAACTGACCATTAAATGTTGTAGTGACATATTGTTGCCTGCACTGTTAGGCACACAATGATCTGTGCGTGTTGTTAATAAGTTTGGATACAACTCAGAAACTGTATATAAAGTTAGACGACATGACATTATGTCAAATGCATTTTTCTCAAAGATGTTTTGTCATTTAAGGTACTCCTGATTACACTTTCCAATTGGTCGAGCGCATTTATAGGTGGGACCTTGATAACATGGCTCCACTGTACTCAAACGCACATTTGCTATATTTGTTAGAGAAGAAAAGTACTGTTGGGAGCTTCTCCTTGCTGGTTTTCGCTGTTATTTGTCATGAACGTGCTGTTGTCGTGAACAACGTCACTTAAGTTGATGAGTCCCTGACATCGCTGCTACAGAACACAGACATAGAGAGAGATATTTAAACTGATATCATGCATCAAAGCCTTTGTTTTATACAGATAATGGGCACAACTTTAAATAACATGACAGGATATCAAAGTTATGACTGTAGTTGATTCAGGTTTGACTGTCAGGACAAGATTTCTCTCTGTTTTATGCCCCCTCTCTCTAATAAAGGATAAACCCAGCAAACAGGCAGTACAAGGTATGATTTAAAATGTTACCTCACTCTCAGCAGGACGACGACATTGATGATGATGATGATGATGACGGTGATGAAGATGATGAGTAGGATGAGTATGACGACAACAAAAATGATGCTGGCAGCATTTTAGTTTCAGAGGAGACCACTGGAGGGAGAGTAGAACATAATTGAATAGAATTATATTTGTGGCATTTTGATGGAAATCACACCACAGAGCTCCCACTCTATTCAATCGATTTTGTCCTCTGCACATTGGCCGGCATAGGTGCAAAATTATTATTCATCTTATGTTAATTACAGTCGGCATGGCAACCAAAGCTCAAGAGGCTTAGGAGCAACTTTAACACACACAGATGGAGATATAAATCCATTTGGAAGGTTATTTTTGCAAGTGAATTGTAGGAGGAATTCATCTAAGTGAGAACAGAAGCTTTATGTGAAAACCAGCTCCAAAATTCAAAGTGTGTTTCTGTGGCAGTTTAAAGGGCAAAAAAGTCTCCTGCTGTAAAGAGCAGATCACAGTTTATTCTATTTTGGAAGAATTAAATACCAGTGTGTCTCTTTGTGTTTATGATCAACCAACATTTTCAACATAACTTTTCCACCCACAAGATGCTGAAGTTTCCTGGTTCAAAATTAATTTGTTTAAAGTTTGAATTAATTACAGTTCTTGAAAACACGTAATACAAACAAAGCAGACTCATTAACCTCAAGTTAGAAACTGAACAGATTTACATTTTTTCAGTTTCTTTCAGGGAAACGTTTGAGGCACAACAGCACTATCAGTCACACTCATGTTGGGACGTGTGCAGAATAACATGAGAGAATATGAGCACCATTGTTTGTCAAACACAAGGTTGAAGTTAATTATTAACTCATTAGCTCCACTGACCTGCCGATGAGCAGGAACTCTCCGACCAGTCCCTGGCGTCTCATGGCCATGAGGATGTTGCGGACGGTCATGCCTTCACAGAAACACGCCACCACCCTGGCCTTGGGCAGGTGGGCCCTCAGTCTCTCCAGCAGCCGGTCGAAGCTCTGCTGTCCAGCATTGCTCCAGATTTTGCCTGAAGAAACGTCAAATGGTCTGTGACTGATCTGATTTATTTGGACCGCTGTTTATTTATCTGTTGAGGTTTTAACTTTCATTTAATGTTGTGTAAGTTTCTGGATTGCAGATACCAGCAGAGTATGCAAATCTCTGTACCAATCTGATACCAAGTTTTTAAAGTATATTAGTTTGTGATATTCTTTTCCAGAAAATAACTTCTTCTGCTGCGCTGTACTGCCACTGGTAAATACTGTTTTTAGAGCAATGAAGAAGAAGTGAAGCATTAGCCAGAGCTATCAGCAATTTGGCAATGTTTCACACTGGAAAGAAAAATGCAAGTGTGTAAGGGATGGAAGACTTCAGTTTCAAGGGGGTGCCACTAGTGCCAATCTCATAAAGCATACTAAGAACCACTTCTATAAAGTTAGAAGCATTCAGCTGTTCAAGTTTTTGTGTTCTTTAAATGAACTGGTGTCGGATTGGTGCTCGGGATCTGTAATTATGCATAATTAAGGGATTGGAATTGGGAAGGTAAAAATAGTATTGGAACATCTCCAGGATAAGATGTAAGAGACAGTAAATTAGCAATGTTCCTTCTAATGCTGAGCAGCACTTAGCTGTGGACATAATGCTTCCAGTTGTACATTTGCATTGACCTCTTTTGTGTTTACTTATACACCTTCTAGAATTAGATCCAGTTTTTTCTAAAATATCATTCCTGTAGTTCTTTGGGATTGATTGTTGTTGAATTCTCGGAGGATAGTCTCTCACCAGAATGAGCGATACAGATGCCCTCCTTGGCTGCCATGTCCTTGAACGCTTCCATCCCACTTTCACCGTAGTTGCCTGGAAATTCAAAGAGGGGGTAAAGGTGGGAGGGTTTTAATCAGTTCAGTTTAGTGGTAGAAATAGAAATAGCTACTAAGAACATTGATGAATAATTCTATAGATTCTATATACTGGACTGTAATATTTGACTGATTTTCAGATACATGCCCACTGCAGTAACCCACCTGCTACTGTACTAACCATAAAAGCTCACATTTATGTCAAAGAAAGCATCTCCCCACTGTGGCACCCGTTTCTTTGCCAGAGAAAGTGGGTGACCTGGAATTTATGCTAATGAAGCGCTGTACAGTCACTGGCAAAGAATATGATAGGATTCCCCTTTTTATTTTCTCCTCCTCTCCCTTCTATCCTTCTCTTCTCTGTGTTTGATGAAGAAACAATCAAACATCTCCTTTTCAAATCTTCTTTTTTCTGGTGTTTGTTTCTCTTTCCTCACTCAATGACATTGTTATCGCTAATGTTACCCCTTTTTTTACTGTGTGTTATCAATAACAGAAAGCAGCCTTATTAGACATTACTGATCATTGCTCTACTGAGGTTGATAAAGAGAGGGAAGAGGAGGTCAAATGAGAATAGAATGAGGGAAACGGTGATAAAGGGATAGAGATGAGAGAGAAAAGAGGAAAAGAGATGGTGAATCACGGCAGGGGAAGAGGGGGGGAGGAGAAAAGAGAGGAAACATACAAAGAAGGCAGAAGAGGTTCCACAATCCCTGACCGCTGCAGCATCACAGTATGTGTGTGTGTGTGTGTGTGTGTGTGTGTGTGTGTGTGTGTGTGTGTGTGTGCGTGTGTAGACGGGCCAATGATGAGTGTGGTGGAGCAAAGTGTAAAGTCCTGTAATTAGTGTCTCAGTGAGAGGGGTGGGAGACAGATGGTACAGAGTGTCCTGCACAAACACACACACACACAGACTCTGTCTCACACACAAACACACACGCACACAATCGTACTGTTACCATCATCAAAATCGATAAAGCTTGTAACCTACTTCACTCTGGTCTCTACAGGGATTTGTGTGTGAGACGCCGCTCTCTCACACTGTAAGCTTGTCATGTGTCTCTTGATCGCTCCATTCCTGCCTCTGAATTTCTCAAACACACATGCACTCTCTCTATGCAACTTAACATCACTGGCACACAATAATACACTTACGCTCGTACGCCTCTCCGCACAAAAACCCACCTACGCACACACATTCATCAGATACAGCTACAACCAAAGAGAAGACAGTATCTATCCAGTCTGTCTTCTCTTCCTCGCTGCTGCAGCACAACACTAATTTGATTTCCTGCTTAATTTCCTAATCTCTTGGCAAATTAGAGGAAAATTGATGATCATTAAGGGATTTAAAGCTGTTCTGATAGACAAAAAAAAACTATTGGGAAATGGAACAATTAAATCACTCTGGATTAACAGCTAGTTATTGCTAAATTCAAACCACCGAAATTTGAGTTGTTGAAGTTCAGTTCTGCACTGCTTCCATCAAGCATTTGATCCACTCACATTACCCTCTCTGATTTTAGTTTTCCATTGGACTTGACGACACGTCACCACTTACTGCCACTATCCAGAAATGAGGCTTAAATAACCTGGACTCATTTAGAGTCTGTGATCGAGGAGTGCAGCCAGGGCGTCGAGGTTCCCCCGATACACGAGCTCAACCAATCGCTAGTCAGTCTCAGCTGTCAATCATGGAGTTTTACCCCATTTTTAACCCCAAAATTCACATCAGTGAGAAAACAACAACACCTACATTGCCACACAGATACAGATAATGTTCACAACTTTCAATAACATATGACAAGATATCGAAGTTATGACTGTAGTTGATCCAGGTTTGACTTTGTCAGGACAAGATTTCTCTCTGTTTTATGCCCCCTCTCTCTAATAAAGGATAAACCCAGCTAACACGCGGTACAAGGTATGGTTTAAAATGTTACCTCAGCCACCAGGGTTTGATCAGAGGGCTTTGGCTTTACTTTTGGGAAGAATCCATGTAGTCTTTCTTTATATATGCTCTCACCTCTACACAGTACTAGGAGCCATTGAGCCCCAGGTGACCATCCACCTTCACAGTAAACGATTTCATCGAACTCTCTACACTCATTTCGTAACTTCCTTTGTTTCTTAAACTGCCATTGAAACAAACAACAACTGGGACCTCCACGTTCACAGCTGCTCTCTGTGTTCCTTCTATTGTTTACCCCTCAGTGATTTTTTATCTTTTGATGCTCTCCATTTAATCACTATTTTTAAATCTTTAATTTCAAAAATAAAACAAAGAGAAAAATAACAGCTTAGAGTGAACATTTTCAAAAGACATGAAAAATTAAAAAGGACAAAAACCTCAACGCCGTGTGTCCCTCTTGCACTTCTACCCTCTATTCTTTGATCTCTCATCATCTTCTTGTTATCCATTTGATGTATTACAATAAATTGCAATATTCAATCAAATACAAAACTAAAGTGTCTTCTCAACACTTTCTCAGGAGTAGCAAAACAGGCAGGACAAAAAAAGCAAGTGGTTCTGTGTTGCTTCTCCTCTTGCTTCCTTCCCTCGCCTCTCTCCCCCTCTCACTCTTCCTCCATTACTCCTTTCTTCTCAATTACCATCCTCATCCTCTTGTCACTCTTATCAGGTCTATTACATGCAATTACACCCCCCCAACCTCGTCTGCTTCCTCTTTTCAAGCGTCATCCCTTCCTGTCATGGCTTCACCCAGAGAAAAAACAACACTCAGTTCCCTCTTCTCTTCTTCCTCCTAGTCCCTCTGCACTTATCCTCAATCCTGATCAATGCCACCACTACCCTATATAACATCTTGAGTGTTGCAACAATAAAGCACAGTAAAACCTTGGGGCAGAATGGTTCACCGACAGTTCAACAAGATAACAGCAGAGAATACATGGACACAACCTTCTAAGCTTCCATCATTTTCTTATTAGAACTGTGTGTGTATCAATATTTTTGAACCTTTTAAATCTGCACTGACTACAGTGGATGATCTTCTGCTCGCTATGGATTCAGATTTGACCTCTTACTTGATCTCACTGCAGCTTTTGATAATATAGTTGATTTTATACTGCTAGACTTTTCAGGCCTGGCTTTCACTTGGACAAAGTTTAACTTTATCCCCCAAAAACCTTTTTATGCTTATATTTTGGGATTTGAGATACGGAGTACCCCAGGGCTCCATTCTTGGCCCTTTGCAGCTTTAATGGAATTAATTTCGT